AATTAGCCCAGGTGGCTTTGGGGTCCCACCTTGTCACCCAAGCTGTCCCAAAATTAGCCCAGGTGGCTTTGGGGTCCCACCCTGTCACCCGAGCTGTCCCAGAGCTGGCCCAGGTGGCTTTGGGGTCCCACCTTGTCACCTGAGCTGTCCCAGAGCTGGCCCAGGTGGCTTTGGGGTCCCACCTTGTCACCTGAGCTGTCCCAGAGCTGGCCCAGGTGGCTTTGGGGTCCCACCTTGTCACCCAAGCTGTCCCAAAATTAGCCCAGGTGGCTTTGGGGTCCCACCCTGTCACCCAAGCTGTCCCAAAATTAGCCCAGGTGGCTTTGGGGTCCCTCCTGGTCCCCCAGCTGTCCCAGAATTGGCCCAGGTGGCTTTGGGGTCCCACCCTGTCACCTGAGCTGTCCCAGAGCTGGCCCAGGTGGCTTTGGGGTCCCACCCTGTCCCCCAGCTGTCCCAGAATTAGCCCAGGTGGCTTTGGGGTCCCTCCTGGTCCCCGGCTGTCCCCAGCGCGCCCGGTGTCCCCGCAGGGCTGATCAAGGTGCTGCTCTACATGGCCTTCATGACCATCATGATCAAGGTGCACACCTTCCCGCTCTTCGCCATCCGCCCCATGTACCTGGCCATGAGGTGAGGCCCTCGGCCCGGGGACGCGCGGCTGTGATCCCGGTCCTGATCCCAGTCCTGATCCTAGTCCTGATCCTGATCCTGATCCCAGTCCTGAACCTGATCCTGATCCTGATCCCAGTCCTGATCCTGATCCCGTCCTGATCCCGATCCAGTCCTGATCCCATCCTGATCCCATCCTGATCCCATCCTGATCCCAGTCCTGATCCCATCCTGATCCCTATCCCAGTCCTGATCCCGGTCCTGATCCCAGTCCTGATCCTGATCCCGTCCTGATCCCGATCCCAGTCCTGATCCTGATCCTGATCCTGATCCCATCCTGACCCTGATCGTGATGCCATCCTGATCCCAATCCTGATCCCATCCCAATCCCACCCAGATCCCGATCCCAATCCCATCCCGATCCTGACCCCATCCCAATCCTGACCCCATCCCAATCCTGACCCCATCCCAATCCTGACCCAATCCCAATCCTGACCCCATCCCAATCCTGACCCCATCCCGATCCTGACCCCATCCCGATCCTGACCCCATCCCAATCCTGACCCCATCCCGATCCTGACCCCATCCCAATCCTGACCCCATCCCAATCCTGATCCCATCCCAATCCTGATCCCATCCCGATCCTGACCCCATCCCAATCCTGACCCCATCCCGATCCCGATCCCGCTCTGCTCCAGGCAGTTCAAGAAGGCCGTCACCGACGCCATCATGTCCCGCCGGGCCATCCGCAACATGAACACGCTGTGAGTGCCACTCCTCCCAAAAACGATCCTGACCCCATCCCGATCCCGATCCCGCTCTGCTCCAGGCAGTTCAAGAAGGCCGTCACCGACGCCATCATGTCCCGCCGGGCCATCCGCAACATGAACACGCTGTGAGTGCCACTCCTCCCAAAAACCCCAAATCCTGGGACACCCTGCATCCATCCACCCCAAAACCCCAAATCCTGGGAAAACCCTGCATCTGTGTATCCCAAAAAAACCCAAATCCTGGGACACCCTGCATCCATCCACCCCAAAACCCCAAATCCTGGGAAAACCCTGCATCTGTATCCCAAAACCCCAAATCCTGGGAAAACCCTGCATCTGTGTATCCCAAAAAAACCCAAATCCTGGGACACCCTGCATCCGTGTATCCCAAACACCCCAAATCCTGGGAAAACCCAGTGTTCATCCCAAAAATCCCAAATCCTGGGAGAGGTCCTGTACCTGCTGGTCCCGGCCCCCACTGGGTGACTGGGATGGGGCTGGGATGGAACTGGGAGCGTTTGGCACCTTTGGGAATTCAACCAAAACCACTGAACAAATTCCCTTTTACCCCAAAACTGCCCCGAGCTGCGGGATTTTTGGGAAGAACTGTGGGATTTTGGGAACAGCTGTGGGATTTTTGGGATCAGCTGTGGGATTTTGGCGCAGCTGTGGGATTTTGGCGCAGCTGTGGGATTTTGGCGCAGCTGTGGGATTTTGGCGCAGCTGTGGGATTTTGGCGCAGCTGTGGGATTTTGGCGCAGCTGTGGGATTTTGGCGCAGCTGTGGGATTTTGGCGCAGCTGTGGGATTTTGGCGCAGCTGTGGGATTTTGGCGCAGCTGTGGGATTTTGGCGCAGCTGTGGGATTTTGGCGCAGCTGTGGGATTTTGGCGCAGCTGTGGGATTTTGGCGCAGCTGTGGGATTTTGGCGCAGCTGTGGGATTTTGGCGCAGCTGTGGGATTTTGGCGCAGCTGTGGGATTTTGGCGCAGCTGTGGGATTTTGGCGCAGCTGTGGGATTTTGGCGCAGCTGTGGGATTTTGGCGCAGCTGTGGGATTTTGGCGCAGCTGTGGGATTTTGGCGCAGCTGTGGGATTTTGGCGCAGCTGTGGGATTTTGGCGCAGCTGTGGGATTTTGGCGCAGCTGTGGGATTTTGGCGCAGCTGTGGGATTTTGGCGCAGCTGTGGGATTTTGGCGCAGCTGTGGGATTTTGGCGCAGCTGTGGGATTTTGGCGCAGCTGTGGGATTTTGGCGCAGCTGTGGGATTTTGGCGCAGCTGTGGGATTTTGGCGCAGCTGTGGGATTTTGGCGCAGCTGTGGGATTTTGGCGCAGCTGTGGGATTTTGGCGCAGCTGTGGGATTTTGGCGCAGCTGTGGGATTTTGGCGCAGCTGTGGGATTTTGGCGCAGCTGTGGGATTTTGGCGCAGCTGTGGGATTTTGGCGCAGCTGTGGGATTTTGGCGCAGCTGTGGGATTTTGGCGCAGCTGTGGGATTTTGGCGCAGCTGTGGGATTTTGGCGCAGCTGTGGGATTTTGGCGCAGCTGTGGGATTTTGGCGCAGCTGTGGGATTTTGGCGCAGCTGTGGGATTTTGGCGCAGCTGTGGGATTTTGGCGCAGCTGTGGGATTTTGGCGCAGCTGTGGGATTTTGGCGCAGCTGTGGGATTTTGGCGCAGCTGTGGGATTTTGGCGCAGCTGTGGGATTTTGGCGCAGCTGTGGGATTTTGGCGCAGCTGTGGGATTTTGGCGCAGCTGTGGGATTTTGGCGCAGCTGTGGGATTTTGGCGCAGCTGTGGGATTTTGGCGCAGCTGTGGGATTTTGGCGCAGCTGTGGGATTTTGGCGCAGCTGTGGGATTTTGGCGCAGCTGTGGGATTTTGGCGCAGCTGTGGGATTTTGGCGCAGCTGTGGGATTTTGGCGCAGCTGTGGGATTTTGGCGCAGCTGTGGGATTTTGGCGCAGCTGTGGGATTTTGGCGCAGCTGTGGGATTTTGGCGCAGCTGTGGGATTTTGGCGCAGCTGTGGGATTTTGGCGCAGCTGTGGGATTTTGGCGCAGCTGTGGGATTTTGGCGCAGCTGTGGGATTTTGGCGCAGCTGTGGGATTTTGGCGCAGCTGTGGGATTTTGGCGCAGCTGTGGGATTTTGGCGCAGCTGTGGGATTTTGGCGCAGCTGTGGGATTTTGGCGCAGCTGTGGGATTTTGGCGCAGCTGTGGGATTTTGGCGCAGCTGTGGGATTTTGGCGCAGCTGTGGGATTTTGGCGCAGCTGTGGGATTTTGGCGCAGCTGTGGGATTTTGGCGCAGCTGTGGGATTTTGGCGCAGCTGTGGGATTTTGGCGCAGCTGTGGGATTTTGGCGCAGCTGTGGGATTTTGGCGCAGCTGTGGGATTTTGGCGCAGCTGTGGGATTTTGGCGCAGCTGTGGGATTTTGGCGCAGCTGTGGGATTTTGGCGCAGCTGTGGGATTTTGGCGCAGCTGTGGGATTTTGGCGCAGCTGTGGGATTTTGGCGCAGCTGTGGGATTTTGGCGCAGCTGTGGGATTTTGGCGCAGCTGTGGGATTTTGGCGCAGCTGTGGGATTTTGGCGCAGCTGTGGGATTTTGGCGCAGCTGTGGGATTTTGGCGCAGCTGTGGGATTTTGGCGCAGCTGTGGGATTTTGGCGCAGCTGTGGGATTTTGGCGCAGCTGTGGGATTTTGGCGCAGCTGTGGGATTTTGGCGCAGCTGTGGGATTTTGGCGCAGCTGTGGGATTTTGGCGCAGCTGTGGGATTTTGGCGCAGCTGTGGGATTTTGGCGCAGCTGTGGGATTTTGGCGCAGCTGTGGGATTTTGGCGCAGCTGTGGGATTTTGGCGCAGCTGTGGGATTTTGGCGCAGCTGTGGGATTTTGGCGCAGCTGTGGGATTTTGGCGCAGCTGTGGGATTTTGGCGCAGCTGTGGGATTTTGGCGCAGCTGTGGGATTTTGGCGCAGCTGTGGGATTTTGGCGCAGCTGTGGGATTTTGGCGCAGCTGTGGGATTTTGGCGCAGCTGTGGGATTTTGGCGCAGCTGTGGGATTTTGGCGCAGCTGTGGGATTTTGGCGCAGCTGTGGGATTTTGGCGCAGCTGTGGGATTTTGGCGCAGCTGTGGGATTTTGGCGCAGCTGTGGGATTTTGGCGCAGCTGTGGGATTTTGGCGCAGCTGTGGGATTTTGGCGCAGCTGTGGGATTTTGGCGCAGCTGTGGGATTTTGGCGCAGCTGTGGGATTTTGGCGCAGCTGTGGGATTTTGGCGCAGCTGTGGGATTTTGGCGCAGCTGTGGGATTTTGGCGCAGCTGTGGGATTTTGGCGCAGCTGTGGGATTTTGGCGCAGCTGTGGGATTTTGGCGCAGCTGTGGGATTTTGGCGCAGCTGTGGGATTTTGGCGCAGCTGTGGGATTTTGGCGCAGCTGTGGGATTTTGGCGCAGCTGTGGGATTTTGGCGCAGCTGTGGGATTTTGGCGCAGCTGTGGGATTTTGGCGCAGCTGTGGGATTTTGGCGCAGCTGTGGGATTTTGGCGCAGCTGTGGGATTTTGGCGCAGCTGTGGGATTTTGGCGCAGCTGTGGGATTTTGGCGCAGCTGTGGGATTTTGGCGCAGCTGTGGGATTTTGGCGCAGCTGTGGGATTTTGGCGCAGCTGTGGGATTTTGGCGCAGCTGTGGGATTTTGGCGCAGCTGTGGGATTTTGGCGCAGCTGTGGGATTTTGGCGCAGCTGTGGGATTTTGGCGCAGCTGTGGGATTTTGGCGCAGCTGTGGGATTTTGGCGCAGCTGTGGGATTTTGGCGCAGCTGTGGGATTTTGGCGCAGCTGTGGGATTTTGGCGCAGCTGTGGGATTTTGGCGCAGCTGTGGGATTTTGGCGCAGCTGTGGGATTTTGGCGCAGCTGTGGGATTTTGGCGCAGCTGTGGGATTTTGGCGCAGCTGTGGGATTTTGGCGCAGCTGTGGGATTTTGGCGCAGCTGTGGGATTTTGGCGCAGCTGTGGGATTTTGGCGCAGCTGTGGGATTTTGGCGCAGCTGTGGGATTTTGGCGCAGCTGTGGGATTTTGGCGCAGCTGTGGGATTTTGGCGCAGCTGTGGGATTTTGGCGCAGCTGTGGGATTTTGGCGCAGCTGTGGGATTTTGGCGCAGCTGTGGGATTTTGGCGCAGCTGTGGGATTTTGGCGCAGCTGTGGGATTTTGGCGCAGCTGTGGGATTTTGGAGCAGCTGTGGGATTTGGGACCAGCTATGGGATTTTGGACCAGCTCTGGGATTTTGGAGCAGCCCTGCCTCTCCTGGCACAGGTACCCCGACGCCACGGCCGAGGAGCTGCAGGCCGTGGACAACGTGTGCATCATCTGCCGCGAGGAGATGGTGACGGGCGCCAAGCGCCTGCCCTGCAACCACATCTTCCACACCAGGTGCTCCTGCCGGGGATCCCGGGCGTTTGGGGCATTTTGGGGTGGTTTGGGGGCTTTTTGGGGTGGTTTTGGGGGTGGTTTGGGGGGATTTTGGGGTGGTTTTGGGGGTGGTTTGGGGGGATTTTGGGGTGTCGCCGCCGCAGTTCTGCCAGCCTGCAATGGCATTCCTGGTCCTGGTCCTAATTCCAATCCTGATCCTGATCCCATCTTGATCCCAATCCCGATCCTCATCCTGATTCCATCCCAATCGTAATCCTGATCCCAATCCTAATCGCGATCCCAATTTCAATCCTGATCCCAATCCCAATGCTGATCCTGATCCCAATCCCAATTCTGATCCCAATCCCAATTCCAATCCTGATCCCAATCCCAATGCTGATCCTGATCCCGATCCCAATTCTGATCCTGATCCCAATCCCAATGCTGATCCCAGTTCTGATCCTGATCCCATCCCAATCCTGATCCCAATTCCAATCTGATCCTGATCCCAGTTCCAATCCTGATCCTGATCCCAATTCCAATCCTGATCCTGATCCCAGTTCCAATCCTGATCCTGATCCCAATCCCAATGCTGATCCTGATCCCAATCCCAATTCTGATCCTGATCCCAATTCCAATCCTGATCCTGATCCCAGTTCCAATCCTGATCCTGATCCCAATCCCAATCCTGATCCTGATCCCATCCCAATCCTGATCCTGATCCCATCCCAATCCTGATCCTGATCCCAATTCCAATCCTGATCCCAGTCCCCATCCCAATCCTGATCCCATCCTAATCCCAACCCCATCCCAATCCCAATCCCGAGCACCACAGTGGTGGTTAATGAAGCCATTAGTTAATTGAGGATTAATTAATAGGGGCTCATTAGTGGGAGAAGGGTTAAATTCCATTGGAGGGTCAGGGGGACACGGAGGGGTCTCGAGTTCCGAGAGGGGAGTTAATTAACGGGTTAATTACCGCCAGCGGGGATTTTGTGGGATGGCATTAATTAAGGTGCTAACGAGGGGTTAATTAACCCTGCAGCTGCCTGCGCTCGTGGTTCCAGCGGCAGCAGACGTGCCCCACGTGCCGCATGGACGTGCTCCGCGCATCGCTGCCCCCGCAGCCGCCCCCCGAGCCCCCGGCAGCGGCAGCGGCGCAGCCCCCCAACTGTGAGTGACCATGGGGA